CCAAGTCGTGGTGCATCCCACTATGCAATGGGATTCTTTTTCATTAGCTCAATGTCGGCGTTCATCATGTCACTCACGAGCTCCAGGAAACTAACTTTTGGCGTCCAGTTTAGTTCGCGTTTAGCCTTTGAGGCATCGCCTTGCAGCAGATCCACCTCTGTGGGTCGAAAATACTTAGGATTGATGCGCACGCGCACAATGTCGGTGTTGCGCTCGACGCCCACCTCCTCTACACCCTTGCCACGCCACGTGATCTCGCGTCCGATGTGCTTAAATGCAGCCTCAACAAATTCACGCACACTGTGCGTCTCTCCAGTGGCAATTACATAATCGGCTGGCGCATCACGCTGCAGCATCATCCACATGGCCTCCACATAGTCGCTGGCATGACCCCAGTCACGTTTCGAGTCCAGATTACCCAGCTCAAAGTATTCCATTTGATTGAGCAATATCTTTGCCACAGATCGCGTTATTTTGCGTGTCACAAAATTCTCACCACGCCGTGGACTCTCATGATTGAACAATATACCATTGCAGGCAAACATGTCGTAGGCCTCCCTATAGTTGATCACTATCCAAAATCCGTACATCTTGGCACAAGCTGTAATTTGGTAAATTAACAAACCGAATTTCATTTGATATTGAGTTCTCACCATAAGGCGAACGTGGATAGAATGGCGTCTGTTCATTCTGTGGCGTCTCCACAACCTTGCCATACAGCTCGGACGTCGAGGCCTGGTAGAATTTAACCGATTTCTCCATGCCACAGGTGCGTATGGCGTCCAAAATGCGCAGTGTGCCAACGGCATCAACCTCTGCCGTGTATTCGCTCAAATCAAATGACACCTTCACATGCGATTGTGCAGCCAAATTATAAATCTCCGTTGGCTTAACCATATTAATGATCTTCACCAGGCTGCTGCTATCCGTCATGTCGCCATAATGCAATTTCATGCGTCCGCCCTTGTGCGCCTTCGGATCCGCATACAAATGCTCAATGCGTGTTGTGTTAAAGGTGCTGGCGCGCCGAATGATTCCATGGACCTCATAGTTCTTCTTCAACAAAAACTCGGCCAGATATGAGCCATCCTGTAAGCAACGTAAGTAATAGTAAGTAACACGTAAGCATTTACAGCTCAAGCAAACAATTGTTATTTTCGTAGTATCGAAGAATAAATACCCTCGCTTGTTTACATATCGTATGTGTGCTATATTTCTATGCCAAGTTCCCGTAAGATAAATTAGAAGACCAGGAAACTAGCCAGTGTAGCCAATTGTGATAGCAATTTTTAATATTGAATTAATGTACTTTCCTGAATCGGCAACACTGGCTAAATATTTTCTTAGCAACTCTCTATACATTTTTCTCATTGTATGAGTACACATTTTCTAGCAAAATCAGAACACCCAGTGCAAGGGTATTGAACAACTGATTAGCTGAACACGCCTGTAATTAACAAATATTAAGACATAAGCCAATCAATCGATGACTCAGGTTTAGCTCATGTTACCACATATCTAACAAATAATCGCCCCTCCTTGCCACACACAATACACCCACCTGTCCCGTTATGCCGGTTATCAGCGCCACTTTGTCACGAGCGTTGACTGCATCACCTCCGCTTGTTGTGCCATTTAAATCCTTGCTATTGTGATTGTTCGCCAGGCGCGCTTGTTTGCTTCCCGTGGCTCCATCGCTTGTGGACATGTTAGCTGCCTGAGCTTTGTCGTTACTCTGTTTTCTGCTAATCGTCGTTTTGGTGCTGGTATAAACAATTTTTCTTCATCTGCTGCGGGAAATGTTGCCACCCGCATCAAAATTATAATACTCTTTTTAAGGTGGCGCAAAGAAACGCTCATTTTTAAAAGCGTACCAAAACTGACGTCACAAACATTCATTAAATTCCTCTGTGGGCACAGTCAGTCACACTACCTTACAAATGGATTCTATGGTGGGTCATTTCATCGATCTGGCAGCACTAACAAACTCGACGGCACATTCGTATACAAGCGCAGGCCAGTTGTTAAATTAAAGTTATTGTTGTTAAAAAAAAAAAAACAAACAAAATGATGGTAAGTTAAAAAGGATAATACAGTGGTTTTTAAGAATTAGCTGTCGTGTAACACAGTTAAAGTCCGCGCTGCATAATTGCATTGGAGACGCGCACACAAAGAACTGCTTATCAGTTTAATGGGCGTAATTGAGAGTGTGTATATGATATTTTTATTGCATTGCTCGCAAATTAGGACGGCACGGATGAGTCAAACCTATTAAATAGTCCCACGAAGAACAACGGCGGTACTATGGAAATCTCATCGCCAAATCCATTGGCACCGACAGCAAATACAAACGGCAGCGGAAGTGCCACTTCACCGGATAGCTCTTCGTCGGCGCCAATGACACCAGCTGCTCTGGGCGAAAATTCGCTACATGTGGAAATCTCTGATGCGTTAAGCGAGAAGGAAAAGGTCAAGTTTACCGTTCACACACGCACCACGCTGCCTGGCTTCGCTAAGAAGGATAACAATGTGGTGCGTCAGCACGAAGAGTTTGTTTGGCTGCACGATCGCATCGAGGAGAATGAAGACTATGCGGGCTACATTGTAAGTGCACCATACGAAATAATCATTATTGCTGAAAAATATATAGCATTGTTATTTCAGATTCCGCCCTGCCCGCCACGACCAGACTTTGATGCATCACGTGAGAAGCTGCAGCGTCTAGGTGAAGGCGAGGGCAACATGACCAAAGAGGAGTTCAAGAAAATGAAATCCGAATTGGAAGCGTAAGTAGAAGGTTTCGATTGTGCCATAAATCAATTTATTATCTGTTGATCTTTCTTTTAGCGAGTACCTGGCCACTTTCAAAAAGACCGTTGCAATGCATGAAGTATTTTTACGTCGCCTAGCCAGCCATCCCGTATTTCGCATCGATCAGCATTTGAAGGTGTTCCTGGAGTACGATCAGGATCTATGTGCTAAGCCGCGCAAAAAGATGGCCATCTTTGGCGGGTTCGTCAAATCGCTGGGCAAGACCACTGATGAAATACTACTGAGTGCTACTGTACGCGATGTTAATGACTTCTTTGAGAATGAGCTTCAGTTCCTTACCGAATACCATGGTCACTTGCGTGAAGCAGCGACGCGCACTGAGAAAATGACACAGCGCCACAAAGATGTCGGCTATTCGCATCAAAAGATATCGAACGCCCTGACACAGCTCTCAACCACAGAGAAAGGCAACATGGAGACTTTTGTGGCGAAGGCAGCGGAAGTGTTTGAACGCATAAAGGCAAGCTATTGTAGTTATTTTAAAGATCTTTAAAATATGTTGCAAATGTTCTAAATAGAATCTGGAGACGCGCGTAGCCAGCGATCAGGACTTAAAGCTGGGCGACACTTTGCGCTATTATCAGCGAGACAGCAATGCCGCCAAGGCTCTGTTGATACGTCGCCTGCGCTGTTTGGCTGCCTACGAGACAGCCAATCGGAATTTGGAGAAGGCGCGTTCCAAGAACAAGGATGTTCATGCGGTAATGTTTATTACAGAATAGAGACTCTTAACTTTTTAATTCTTGGTTTTTTTTGTGCTCACGGTGCTTAGCAGCAAAATTTTCTATTATATTAGCCTAGCAGACAATATGTCAACTTTTACATTTTGTATTAAACTATAAGTTTGTCCGTGTTATATACATACATTTAATTTGTCATGTACGCCTAGTTAAAACATGTCCTTTGATACCAAATTTTTATTCAACGAAGTTGTTACAAAAATTTGTTTGTTATTTAATTTTTAGAGTCATTTCAAAACATAATTGTCTGCGAGGATCTCACAGCTTTGGTGCGCCAAGCACCTGAACCCAACAATTGTGTCGGCTGCAAAAGTATTATTATATATTTTTGGCAATTCATTTTTTTATACATTTGCGTTTCTTATTGTTCAATTACAACGAACTCTCGCATTTCTTTTTCTTTGTGTCTCACTCTGTGCGTGTGGTTGTTATGTCTTCCGCTGCAGCCTTTGGAGGTGCAAGAGGTATTTGGCATTTAATGTTAAAAAAAAATTGGTCACCCCTAGTCTAGTGTCTTGTAATTCTAATTCAAAATTTATTGTAGACACACTCACATAAAGTATAATATCGTTAATCAGTTGCCGCATGCTCTTTAGCATTTCATCTACACAACTTTTGCATGCCTTTTGCTATGTTTTTTTATCATTTGTTTGAGCCATTTGCTAATCTTTGATCTGTTTTATGCAGGCTGAAACTGCTCAAGCGGAGGCCTGTGAAAAGTTTGAGTCTATGTCAGCCTGCGGCAAGGAGGAGCTGATTGGCTTTCGTAATCGACGTGTGGCTGCTTTTAAAAAGAGGTAATTGAACACTTGCAATATTTTCATTAGAAAACCATATAATGCCTGAATATTCTTACAGTCTCGTTGAGTTATCCGATCTGGAGATCAAGCATGCCAAAAGCCAATACGATTATCTGCGTCAATCGCTGTTGGCCCTTAAGGAAATCGCCTGAAAGCCGACAGGCTAGGCATAATCATCTGCACATTGTTTACACACCATTATTAGCCAAGGCCCTCCAAGGAGTAAATTAATTGGTTTTTGCTAAGCAAACAGTTTTATTATCTCTTATCTACATATTATTATTAAATGCATATGCATATACGTATACATATATGGCATATGTAAGATCTAGCTAATGCTTTGAATGTATATGCATTTCCGAATATGAATTTGTTTGTGAAACAGATCGCTTTTATATATGTATGTATATTGTATAACAAGCATTCCTCTATGAACTTTACTATTATATGAACATTGAATTCTAAATATAAAATTATATACAATAATCTTTTTGAAAACTGTCATCCATTCGGACTCAATTCAATTGTTATGTCCAATTTATGGGATTATTGGTAGTCGTAGCCAGGACAACCAACAAGAAACTCTAAATTTTCTACATAACTACCCCGTTTAAACACTTTGAAAATCGTATCCATTATTTATTATAGTTATTTCTTTTGAATTTTTTTCGATTTCCTTTGTTAAAATCATGGATGAGTTTGGTTGCTTTGATCCCAAGCAGCCTACTAGCGACAAGGTACCGGATTGGCGCACTTCAACCTATCGCGGACATCGTCACATTACGGACACACGACTGGGCACTAAGTTGAGCGCTCCAACTGAGTGCTCCAATAAGGGTATTTATGTGCGAGATCCGTTGCTGCACGATAAGCAGTACACCGAAGTGAGCGCCAATTACACGTGGAAGGTGAGCTATAACAGGTGCTCTTAGGAAACAATTCCAATCTTTTTAATTGCACCTCCTTGCAGTATGGCGATCCCAATATTTTGCGCAATCCGTCGCTTAACATGAAGACACAGTTCATGAAGCGCTTTGAGGAGGGCAATCTGCGTTTTGTGAAACGCAAGATTAAGCCCATGACGAGCGTGTCCCAGGACACGTATACATTCGTTGAGCTGCCATTTGAAAATGATCCGCTGCCAATGCATATGCCCACACCAGTGGAGCCCCCCAAAATAATCATAGATCGTTCGAAAATTGGCTATACCAAGTATTTGGATCCAGCAGCCACCACATACAATCTATCCTATGTGCATTTTACGCCACATGATCTGCAGGCAAGCATTGCGGCCCACGATAATATCACATTTTGGAACTGGGCACAGAATGGTCCCGCCGACACACACGTTTCTCGTGTTGCAAACGAAAACATGTGCGATGAGGCTAATGCACACGAATGCCCCAAACGCCGCTTGGAGTATCAGAATCAGCTTAAACGAGTACCGCACACCGGTCTCGTCACCGAGGTGCGCGACAACTATGTGGATCCCAAGCTGAACAAAGAATATATCGAATATGATATAACCGATGTGAAGCCAATTCTTGTCTCGGAGGCGGTTACACCGTTTGCCAAGATCAGCGAGTATGGCGTCTATGGTTCCGGTAATTCGGTGCTTAAATATGTTTAGACAGTTTGAATTTTATTTGAAACAGCGAAATATATTCAGGTTTATTTTACCCCTATACAAACTAGTATATCGAAAAACAATGTGGCAACAAATGATAGATGGACGTGACCAGCACTTCGTCATCGTCCTCAAAGGCAGGCAATTTAGCGCTTGACTGTGGCGCCTGTGCTATATAGATGGGTATGTCCAGTTTGGCAAACTCGTGTATGAACTGCCGGCAGACGCCGCAGGGCGTGGTATAGCCAGCCGGATGATAGGCAACAACGGCGCCTGCATTGAATGTCTTGCAACCTTCGCTGATACCTTTCACCAGAGCCGTGCGCTCGGCACAACAGCCTGGAGTGAAGGCCACATTCTCCACATTGCAACCGGTGAAGACCTTACCGCCTTTGGAGCGAAAAGCAGCGCCTACCTTAAAATTACTGTAAGGTGCGTAGGCAAAGCAGCGAGCATTGAGGGCATCCTCTAGCAGTTCACGGCCACAGTTATCTGTTTGGGCACAGCATCGAGTTAGTTGGGATTTATGACGGAGTTGGCAGCTAGACTGCCCCTTACCCAATTGACCAAAGGAAATGGTATACTCGTACAGTTTGACGGGATGTGGCAGCTTGAGCGACTCGGAGACAGGATATCCGATTCTGCGCGGCTGACGTCTGTCCACCTCATTTTGCAGCTCCTTCAACTGTTCCATATAAAATTTTAGCCTTTTGAACGCCTTCCGCTTAGCGAGCTCATTCTGAAGAGCATCAAGCCGTTTCATGCACTTCTTTAATTCCTTGCGTTTTTGTGACATTTTATTTTTAGACATATATTTAATTTTTTTAATTTTACAGACTCTACCAAAACTACTAATATGATAATGATACCGACTTGACAGTTAATCGGTTGAAATCAAGCCGTGGCCTACTGAGACTCTATAAAAGGATTTTCTTATTTGTATAGTCGAGGATTTCGGCATCATCCTCAACTTTCAGTGACCAGATTGCCAGGATATATCTGGAGAAAATCTTTGAAGATCATTAGAAAAATATAGCTGCCATATATACACATTTTACAAATGGCCAATAGGGTCTTCCGCTAGGACACAATCATGGCATTGGAAGCCGGATTCGTTTTTTATCACTTTCCTGACTGACTACGTCCCTTAAGCGACTCATCTAATCTGGGCTACCTACGTGTGCCTTTATTACCTACTGTGCCTTTATTATTATTATTTTTACTTGTATTGAATTCATCAATTGCATTTTGAGGTATTATTATACCCTGTAATCATTATAGATAGAAAAGAGTATAGGGTTTTGTGTGAATATACAGTATTTATATTCTTAATTAACATCTCGCAGATTTTATAAACCTTAGAGTTGTGGACTATATCTATATATACATATCTTTCTTTACTATTTTTGATTTGCGATCATGATCCTTAAACTGGAATAATGAACAGTTTATTTAGAGGTATTGCTCATATATAAGCTTGAATAAAATACGCTCGAATAAACGTTTCGGCAGTTTGGAGCTGGGAACAGAGTATCTTCTGCTCGGGCACCTCATGTCAACAACAAGCAGCCTGATTAGATTATCAGCATCAGATTATAGTCATAGCAGCGGTTATTGATAACACCAATAACACCGGTAAACAAACATTCTAAATAATAAGCGTTTAAATTTGTCGCAATATGCAGTTGGTAACTGCATAGAAAGCAAACGGATATCGTTTTTATAGAAATTTATGGGGAATAGAAAATTGGGAATCCCAACAATGTATAAAATGACTCATAAAGAACTTAAAATATAGCTCACTTTTAAAATATTAAATATAACTATGATTTATAGACCCTAAAATCGAGCTGGTACATAAAAATATTTTCGATTGAGGCTCTTTTTTACATTTGAGAAAATTACATGAATTTTTTTTTTGGATCGGTCAAAACATTTTGACCTTATCTAGTTCTTTATTTTATAAATAGTAATTTTGTTTACTAGTGTCAATATTTAATATATTTAGCAAATTCTAAAACCTTTGGATTATGTTAGCTTTGAAATGTATCTAGATCTTTCAGTAGGTGTGGAAACTCTTTGGCAACAGATTGAAAATGGATGTGCAAAGCACGGGATCATCGCTGTTGAACGGCTCCTCGGGCGATCGCTCATCTAATGCCTGTGCTATATAGATGGGTATATCAGTGTTGCCAGCAAACTCCCTGATAAACTGTCGACAGACGCCGCATGGTGAGATGAACACTTCGGGCTTATAGGCGACCACAGCGCCGGTCGAGAACTGCTGATAGCCTTCACTGATGGCCTTGGTGAGGGCCGTACGCTCAGCACACGCTGTTGGCGTAAAGGCGGCATTCTCCACATTACAGCCAGTGAAGATTTGATTGCTGATCTTCGTACGGAAAGCGGAGCCTACCTTGAAATTGCTGTACGGAGCATAGGCGCGCTGGCGCACCACATATGCAGCACTTAGAAGTTCCTGAACCGTTGCATCTGTGTAAACAAGATGATACATAACAACCATTGTAGTTGGGAATGCTTTTACTTACCCAACTTGCCGTATGGAACGACGGACTCTGTAATTTCTGGCTGGGCCAAGCCTTTTAACAGATGTGCCATATTAATAAAATTTGCTATTTATAAATTATAATATATACGCGCGCGCTGAGGTAACAAATAATTTTGTGCGCCAGTCCGTGTGTCCGCTACGAACGTCCGATGACAAATGGACAGTATTTATTGTAGACGCCGTGTGTTATTGAGGAGCGAGCCGCTCGCTGGTAGCAGCTGTGTGGCTGATAACAACGGCTGCTGCTCGGACAAATTGCCAAACAAATACACAGAAAAACTACAAAACATGGGAGCGTATGTACATATGTATGGGTTAACAAAGCGGGGTAGTTTTACAGTTGCACTTGGTTAAATAAGGGGTATTCACACGTTGTATTGCACATAATATAAGACCAAAGATGCGCCCTATTTGCCATTGAGAAACCGGAAGCTATTGGGCAACAGTTCCAGCACGCTGGTACAAAGCACACGGAGCGGCATATTGGTCGGCTTCGCTGCATACAGCGGTATATCCTTGCCATTGACGGCAAACTCGGACAAAAACTGTCGACACACACCGCAGGGCGTTGTGAAGCCGTTATCCTGCTCTGCTACAACGGCGCAGGCCACAAATTCGCGTTTGCCTTCGCTAAAATAAAAATTGCAACTAATTAAAGAAAAAAAACTGTATATAGGGCAAGTCAAGGACTGTTCACCTTAAGGCCTTCACCGCAGCAGTTCTTTCTGCGCATATGCTGGCAGCATAGGCGCCATTCTCAATGTTGCACCCAGTGTAGATGGCCCCATCGCTGGTACGTATCGCAGCGCCCACGGCAAAGTTACTATATGGACAATAAGCATGATTTCGTGCTTCCGCTGCGGCCCTTATCAGCTCCTGTATGGAAGCATCTGAAAAACAAATAGAGAGCGCTAAAATCCATAATTATCGTGTAATTAACAAGTCTTGTCGCACCCAAACTGTCGTGCTCCCTGACATTGGCATCATCTCTGGCACCATTTATGTACACCTGCGTCATGGCTCTATATATTTTCTAAACGTTCTAATTTCAGCGTTGAATAGGAACAAAGCTTTTGCGTTCTACTTTTGCTACGATTATAACTCCTTATGGTGTATTTTCGTTCAAACGCTTGCTGCAGATTTAATGTCCACCGAAATCATTTTCACTATTTGCCGTTCAATAAGTTCCAATTAGGCACTCGTTCTTACGACATCGCGCCATCTGACCTTAATTGTTTCGAGAACTTTGAATCCGTTATAGGCGGCTGCAACTGTAGCAACAGTCAGCTGTTTCAGAGACATTTGAAGTGTTATCGATATGTTTGATATCGATAAGCTTTTTGCTTTGTAAACAAAAAGGTATGTCGGTGTCACATGTGTGTGTGTGTGGGTTTTCCGACGTTATCAGCTTTTAATGATAATCGGAAAATTTTTTGAGTGGCAGTGGCATATTGATATCAAGGCAGTCATTTAGTGAGTCGTGCTTGTTGTGTTTTGTCCTACACTCTTTTTTTAATATGCCGTCGACGTCATCGTCCAGCAATCCGCAGCAACCGGAGGACATCGAGCGCGCTATGGGTGGTGCCGAAGAACATGTTTCACAGCGCTTGCCGCCCATTGACTTTGATCTGGATCGTTTTCCATTTTGCATTGTTTGGACACCAATACCAGTGCTCACCTGGATACTGCCATTCATCGGCCACATGGGCATCTGCATGAGTAATGGCGTTATCAGAGATTTTGCTGGACCATATCTGGTGACGGAGGACAGAATGGCATTTGGACGTCCCACACGCTATTTACGCTTGCATCCGAAAAACGTCGAAGGTGGATCCTATGCCTGGGATGAGGGTGTGTCAAAAGCTTCCGTCCTTTATGGCACGCGCATGCACAACATATTTTGTGATAACTGTCACTCGCATGTCGCGACGGCTCTCTGTAATATGCAGTATAAGGACAGCACCAGCTGGAACATGATCATTCTGTGTTTCTGGCTGTTCGTTTTCGGCCGCTATGTGGGTGTCTGTGGCTTCATCAAGACCTGGTTGCCGTTTCTAATACTACTTACCGTTGTTGTTTTACTCGCTGTGTACTTTTAGGGCCTACCAATTAATTCAGTTAATCAAAAATATGTCTAAACAAGATCAATGTTTGTGTGTGTAGATAAGTATGTAGTTTGTTTATTAGAAAAAGAATACTAAGTACTACTTATGACTCATGTTTTTGTTGCTGTGGTTTTGGCCTCACTCTTCAAGAGCGCGGCTGACATCGTCTGCTACTGCGAGTAGCTTTTTCCATTGGGTAGCAGACAGCGAGATACCCTTCTTGCCAGGCAAGACTTTGCCATCCTTCTCGTAGTGCTCGCGTATGTCAACCATTTTTTTGCCGCGAAACTCATTGATGCGCACCTGACGCATGCCCTCGAGTGTCCATGAGGTAGTACCACCATCTCCATCATCCTTTTTTGCCTTTTCACCGGTGACGGTCTCCTTGGCCTTTTTGCTTGGCGGTGGATTACGCTGCAAATAATTGTTTTATTAAATATTGATGATTTAATTAACGCCAGATGAAATTCTATGTTTCTTACATCATCAGGACCGCTGTCACTGTCAGACGAGGAACTTTTTTGCTTCCTGATTTTTGGCATTTTTAATTCGAGACTGAATTGCTTCTTGCTGATAAAATATTTGGCGCAAATAATTTGCGTCGACTGCGTTGCCATTCACTCGCTTGATTTGGCATTGACATTCCCATGTTAACGTAAATGCGACATAGACGCCGATTCTGCCGCATTCTTTTTCTAAGTAAGCGGCGGCATCAGTTGTAAACGCGCACTTTTTCTTCTTGTTTTGCGTAAATTCGATTGCCGCTGGCAGAATATTAAGAGAAAAGTGAAAAACTGTATAATAAACAGTAACTGAAAATTAATAGTTTGTGGTAAGCGTGTGTTTATTTTATTTTATTACGATTTGCGCTAAAATCTGCACACATTTTATTTGTACTCTTACATACATATATACATACAAATGTACATACATGCGCGTTTCTCATTTTTCCTTAAGAGTTTAAAATAAAATACATAAAATGGGCAAGAAGGCCGACAATCCTGAAACAAACAATGCATCCTCTGGCGCTGAGGAAGAAGAGGAGGAGTATGCCGTTGAAAAAATTTTAGATCGTCGTGTGCGCAAAGGAAAGGTTTGTGCGGGGATAAGCGGCGCAAGTGGGACGCTAGGACATGTTGCTAATGATCATTTCCATTTTAAAGGTGGAATACTATCTCAAATGGAAGGGTTATGCAGAAACTGAAAACACCTGGGAGCCGGAAGGAAATCTTGATTGCCAGGATCTCATACAACAATATGAGCTGAGTCGCAAGGATGAGGTAAGTCGTGAATTTGGTACAGTTGTGTTGTAAATGGTTTACCTTACTACGGATTTTTTCTTGCAGGCCAATGCGGCGGCCTCTTCTTCTTCGTCCTCTTCGAAGAAAGAGCGTCCCGGCAGCAGCACCAAGGTCAAGGAGACCGGCCGTACCAGTACCACAGCCAGTAACAGCAGCGGCAGCAAACGGAAATCCGAAGAGCCAGGTAGGCGACACCTAAACAGTCTTTTCATATATGCAAACATATGCATATATATTTATTTGAGATATATATATATATATATATATGAAGATTTCTACATATGTAAACATGCCAAGTAATAAACACTGTACTTCAGCTGGTCCAGCAGGTAGCAAATCAAAGAGAGTCGAGCCTGAGGATACCGCCGATATAATACCGGCGGGCGGCACTGGATTCGATCGCGGCTTAGAAGCTGAAAAGATACTGGGCGCCTCCGATAATAATGGCCGCCTGACATTCCTTATTCAGTTTAAGGGAGTCGATCAGGCCGAAATGGTGCCATCGACTGTGGCCAACGTTAAGATACCTCAAATGGTAATACGCTTCTATGAGGAGCGCCTCTCCTGGTATTCGGACAACGAAGATTAAGTGTTGCAGGTCCCAAATTTGTTGTTCAAAAATAACTTTTTTTTCTCAGCATATTAAACATTATGTACTTTTATCATAAAATTCCAATTAATAAACATGAACTAGCTTATGTTTAAAATTGTGTAAGCGGTGTCTCTAAATGTGGACGCCATATGTTGACCAGATGTAATTTTAGGGATTCAGCAGCTTGTTCGCCACATTGCATTCGGAATTTTCCAGCACATTGCCGCAGCAGGACCAATGCCGACGACCCGGATGACCCGCATGCCCGTGACCACAGCCACTGTAGCCAGGCATTCGGCCCTCGCACGAACACTTGACGGTCTTGCTGCCCTTGCCGGAGCAGAAGGCGCAGCAGTGGTAGATGCCATTGTGCGGACGCACCTGGCGCGAGTGAAAGGTATAGGGGCTGCCCTTGATTTGCCGCTCATTAATGGAGATCGTTAATATAAGTGTACCCTGTGTGTCGGGCGTAAAGGAAATGCTGTAGGTGCCGTCGCGATGATCGGACACCTCAATGGGCAGAAACTTGACGCTGGCATCCTTGTATTTTATAATGCAATTAATTTCTAGCCCGCCATGGCATAGCGCCACCCCATCCGCATCGCGTGACAACAGCAGCAGATCAACCTTCTTGTGCAGTCGCAGCTGCGAGAAGCCCTCCCATTGTAGGGTGCACAGAGATGGGTCAACGGTTTGCATGGTTATAATGCCGTATAGCGGTATATCATGCTGATTCTTGGTACTAGGCGCTCGTATTTTCGATAGAAAATGCAGTGAATCGGATATCTGTAAGAAATGCAATGAATTACTAGAGTATTTTGCTAGAAACTGTACTGTACTCAAAAAGGGTGAATGTGCTATTTTAAGGTTATGTCCGAAAACTGTCACATGTACAGTTGCTGCAGGACGGAATGTGGAAAGGTGCAAAATTGTATTGCGAATATAAATTTGTTGATAATTCGACTAAAATGTCAACTTAAGCAGGTTTTTTTTTGCAAATCCCTTCAGTTTTTAGTACAGTTTTAGGATTGGGACTAGACGGGTTGACTCATACGCACCTTGGGATCGACGGGCGTCTTGAACTGTTGGCAATACTCGAAGCGTTTTAGGAGAATCCGAGCGAAGCTTAGTATCTCAACATCGGCGCCAATGTCGCAGAGCTCCTGGCTAAAGCGTATCGCATCCATAGCCTGCTGCGTGCGTTTCTCTAGAAGATCAAGGTTTAAAAGAGTTCAATATTTGGTATAAAAAGTTCCCCCTTTTTCGGCTAAATAATGGTTGGATCTCTCAGATATAGCCTTTTCTGGCATATTAGTGATTCTCATGCCAACCAGTTGTTAGCCATTGGATTCGTTCGCTCAATCCTTACCCAGTTCGAGCTGTTGGTTCAGTATGAGCTCCACCTTGGATTCCCTGGCGCGACTGATCTGCTGCAGCAGAGTGTTGCGATGCGCATGAAGCGCTTCCACGTAACGATCCATATAGCTCTCTACCTGGGCCTGTATGTCATCACACCTGGCATTAATGCTGCGTGTTATATCGTGCAGCCGCTCGATCGAGTGCTCCGCATACTGACATAGCGGACGCGTTTGTTCCGTGGCCTCGTTAAGATGCTTGGTCACCTGCAGCTGGGTGATTGCCTTGGCGACGGTCTCGTGGCGATGGCCACGATGCTGCATCACCAGGCAGTCCGGGCAAGCGAGCTGCAGAGAGTTAACGGAGTTAGCAATGTAATTAGAGTGGAATCCAGTGCCTAACCTGCCGGCAGGGCACACAGAAGGACTTCAGCTCGAAGCCGTGCAGGCCGCACTTGAGCAGCACATGGCTGCTGTCCCCCAGGCCCAGTTGTTGTTGCTTCTGTTTGCGTGCACGTCGCAGCTCCAGGATGTTGCGCATGCGATGATTGGCCGTGCTTCGCTGTCGCTCGTGGGCCTCCTTGCACAGCGTGCACAGATTCAGAGTGCAGCTGATGCAATGATAGGTGGCCTGAAAGGATAACACTAGTTAGCTATGGCGGAGGAAGGTCCAAGGTGGCTTCCCACTTCAAATCTTACGCTTATCTCTTCGCTGCACAGTGAGCACCAGACACGCGAGATGATATCGTCGCCGGCCTGCAGACGCAGTGCCTCAATGCGTCGCACCAGCAGAAAGTTCTGTGGCAGCTGCCGCACCCCGCCCAAGGTAGGCAGCTCCGTGATGAACTGGCATATGTGGCAGCGTATGGAGCGCGTAGACTCCGGCACGCTGGCAAAGCTGGCGTTTAAGCGTGTGCTGGAGGAGCACGCCGAGGTCGAGCGTTTGGCTTCACCTTTACCCTGGAACACATACAGACAAGTCAACCATGAAGAGCAGGAGCTGAACTTCAATTTACCCGCAGCGTCAGGCGATCCAAGGACTTCTTGCTGCGCAAACTGAGACTTGCGCCGCGCTGCCTGTCCGGCGAGACCGTGGCCAGTTCGCTGGCTGTGTCTGGCGTGGAGGAGAGCAAGCTGTAGCTGGAGCGTTCCTCCCACAGTGCCTCCTCCCTGAGATTCTCGTTGACCAGGCACTGCAGGCAAAATGAGTGCAGGCAGTGCAGCGTGCGCGGATCTGTGTAGACATCCATGCATATGCCGCACTTCAGATCCTCGGGATAAACGATGCTCACACAGCTCGTGTCGGGCGGTAGCGTCAAGCTGGGCGAGGGTGACACCAGCGGCGTGCCCGCCGGCGAAGGCGTGCGGCTCCTGGAAACCAACAAGCCACTGTCATAGTACTCGCTTGCTGCTGGCGGCAGTAGCAATGCGTTGACCTCCAGAGGAACGCCGCTATCCGGCGTGGGTGGCGACACGCGCAGCTCCGGCGAAGCTTTCAGACTGAGCACACGTTTTGGCTTGAGCGGCATTGGAGCTCGGTGCGGGTGTGGGCTTAACATAACCGCAGCTGCTGCTGGTGCTCCTGGTGGGGGTGGGGGTGGTGCGACCGTAATGTCGCTGGCGCTGCTGCTGCTCTGCACGGAGACGGCCGATGCGCCGCTCAATATGTGATCCAGCAGCGATTCTGGTGAGGTGGAGCTGCCACCCGTAATGCTGCTGCTGCTGGGCTCACTGTTGCTGTCCGCGACGAGCGCTTCCGCGTGCTGGCCCAGCGTGCGTGAATGTCGGATGCAGCTGCTCAACTCCATGACGCGTAGTCGTGGCACCGTTTGGCCAGCGCCTAGCACAGCTAAAGGCGGAGGCGCAATGCTAAAGCTGAACAGCTGCGGCGCCGACTTGCGACGCAGTGCATCCAACTGCTGCTGCTGCGGCTCTAGCTGCTGCTGCTGCCTAGTGCCGCCGCTTTGTAGCCTGATTTTGCTGGCACTCAACTTGAGCTGCATTTTATCGGTTCGAGCAAATGTGGTGGCTGCTCCAGCTGCTGTTGGCATCGGCATCATTGCTGCCAAATCGCCAGCTGTCAGCTGCATGCGCTCATACTCGATGAGATTGCTCTTCGAGCTGCGCTTGAACGTGAGCTTCGTCTGTAGCGTTGGCGAGTTGCACTGGCTTCTGCTCATTAGGAAATCTGGGAGCTAGACAGTGCTTATGCAATCAATGGATGAATTTTACAAAATGTATTTTGCTCATGAGTGGATTCACTTGACAGCTGCGCGTTCCGTTTCCAACTGCTGGCTGGCAGTTGGAGCTGGCCAACGGGTCGTATGCTTAATCTAATTACTCAAACACAAAACAAATGCGAATGCGAATTGGTTACAACTGTCACCGTCTGACTGTTTGCCAGTTGTGTTTTGCACTCGATTCGCTGCAGAATGGATATGTCAGGTCGGATTATAACAACGCTCGCATCTGAATGGGTAATATTCAAAACCGACTGAATACTGGTGTCAAATGCAAATATATTCATTTTGATAGCCTGTCAGAGTGGGAGATAAGTGGATAAAAAACAAGCAAGACTAATATAATTGAATAAAAAAACACCATTTCTTAATAAAATAATTGGAACTCACGGTCCAAAAGATATTTAAAGAATTTGATCAAATTGTGATTAAAGGCTAAAGAATGGCCTTGAAAAAACCCACACGATCATATAATCTTATAAACATTAATTTTAAACCAGCATTTGAGAATTTTAAATTTATAAACTTTATAATTTCATGATTAAACGAGTTATTAAAAATATATACATATTAATCAAAGAACCTTCCCTACTACCCATTTTGTCGAAAACGTTATAACGCATTCTCATCATTGAAAATATTTCCATATAAAAGAATTTTCTATTATTGATAGAAATATTCAGTAACAAATTCATATTTCATGAACGTCATGATTTTTTTTTATTCATCTTAAAGTCCATTTTACAATCTTCGTGAGAGTGCGTTATCAATCAGTGCATCATTTCTTGAATGTCGATCAACCTAACACCCACTCTTACTCTCTCGCTCTCTGGCTGACGTTCTGTAAAACTGTCAAAGCTTTCACGCAAATTCCAACTGTTGTTCCGCTCACCCATGCACAGTTCTCACACACACACCATTTATACTCAAATGTCGGGGAGAGTGAGCTTTTGCGCGCTGGGCGCCCCCAAACCCAACGCACGCGCTCCGAATCGGCCTCAGTGCAATTTGGGATTGGGCGGCGTGCGTACGTTGTTAACGGTTGTTTTGTTTTTTCGCGGCTCGTGAAAATCGGTATCGGCATCGGTGCGAGTGACGCGTGTCTCGATTTTTTTAACATTTAGCTTTTGAAAGAATCGCCCAGCAGCTGCACAGAACTTGCGGCTCGGCAACGTGAAACAACTTTCTATTTTGTTGTTCGTTTTCGATGAATAATATTAATAACTGTTTTCGCTTTTATTTCAATTTTTATAAAGTGCCAAATTACATTGGTATTTAACCAAAAAATTTCGTGTGTTCACATATGAAAGCGAATTCTGTTTCATTGCACTGTGTTGAACTTTTGTGTTTTCTCGCTGTGTTTTCTTTTTCGTAAGTGACGCACATTTTGTTGTAGCGGCATTTTGCGTGCGTGTGTGTGTGCGTGTCTGTTGTTTTTATTTTGTTTTGCTTTCGATTTTCTATTCTGCGTTAATCGGCAAAAAAGGGGAACATCAACATGGAAGCGGTAAGCGTGACTTATTAGACCTGTCAAACATATACTTACATAGCTTAACGGTCTCCCCCCACTTATGCAAAACAATTGCGTTTATCAGTCTGAAGAGCGTCAGTTTCAAAGTTCAAATGCGATAAAGTTTTTGGGCGGCCTTTGCGCAAAAGGTTAAAGTCCCCCTGAAGCCCCCAGCCATAGGCCCATCGAAAGGCGTTAAACTGTTCTCGTGTTTATCAAAAAAAAAAAAAAACACGGAATCTAAATGATAAGTCTCATTAAGTTTGCCAGCGGATTAGCGACTATAATATTTGTTTTTACGCATCACAAAACAGATTTTTGCGTGCTGTTTCTTCTAAGTAGAATAAATAAATACAATAAAAAATGTAATCGATTTCGATTACACGAAAAAAAGAAAACACTTTTCCAGTGATTTTCCTATGCGAAATGATAACGTCATTGTCGACTGCGAATAACTCTCCTCACATTCGACATGACAGGTGGGAACAGTTCGGAAAGAGTCTTCTTGATATAAAAGGAGGTTGCGTTTATTTGAAAACTGTTTTAAATATTTGAAAACCGTTTTTTTTCATCAACTTAATAATAATGAAAATTAATAAAATTTAATATGAAATATTAAAAATAAAAATGTTCTAGAACTTTTTACGTTGCATTTGTAATACATGCAATTTTGTACTCCGTTTTTTGAAATACTCTTTCACCCTTTCTTTCTTATGATAAAAACTTAATGATATATTTGAAAGTTTCTCAATTTAATAAAATATATTTCATAGTTAAGTCGCTGCCTCGAAAAATGTAATTTATTTTCACCATTTGTCACATCCAGAGATAAACAGACATAAACATATCATATAATAAATATTTTATTACAGACGGATAACTATAGATTCGGCAACACGGACTATATCGTATTTCTGGGCATGATTGTTCTTTCCACAGGCACTGGCATATATTTTGGCTGCTTTAAGTGAGTGTTATACATTTTCTCCCATTGAGTTTTTTCGCTGATTGGCCTATGCTTTCTAGAAAAACCAAAAAGTCCATTGAGGAAGTGGAACCGACTTTGCCCACCAGCGCAGCTACGCAGACACGTAGACATGATTTTGGTTCGGAAAAGATGAGCGAATATCTGCTGGGATCGCGCAAATTGAAAGTCTTTCCTGTTGCCATGAGTCTAATAGCCAGGTGACAGAACTTTATATATATATATATATATATAGTAATGACACTTATCTCTCTTCTCGTTTATCTACAGTTATGTATCAGGCGTCACCATACTTGGCACCACATCAGAGATATATAATTATGGCACACAATACTGGTTTATAGCCATAGCCATTATACTGCAGGGCATTGCTGTCTCCTATATCTATATACCAGTATTTACAGCACTACAAGTCGGCTCCTCCTATGAGGTATGTATATATCTTTAGCCAAATCATAAACTTAATGACTCTGGAGCAGTTAGTAGTTTATAAAAAAGGTTGTTAAACCGAATCACAGCACAAATGATAAGAGAGGAAACCGACTCTTGTACCATATTGAATTAATTATATCACTTATTGATTGCTATTTGACTGGGTTAATGTGTTGCAATATATGTAAGAAGGTTAATGTTTTTAATACTTGATTTATAGGTTCATGCTTAAGAAATGAAGAAAATTAAAACGAATTTCTATATATATTAATTTCTTTTTTAAAGAATGCGACATTCTATAAAAGTATGCAACCATCTGCATCTCCTGCCTAACTCCGCCCTATTAAAATCGATATGTTATTTGTAGAATGCCGGATTTATGGTCGCGAAATGATGTCGTTGCCCCCACAGAAATGTGTCAGGTTTCTTAAAGTAGATTATTTTTAAACATGCTGGAAAGTTTTTGAATTCATTTAATGATTTTGTTATTGTAATATCCTGTTTAGTATTTTATTCATGCAATCCAGTAGCACGTATTTTGTTGAAAATCTGTTAAACTTTTAACGGATATATTGTTTGTATATGAAATTCAAAATTTTCTTTAACTTTTCCAAATAAAAAACTCAATATTTAGTTTCTATAGTCATATGACAAAGAAAATCATGAGATCTATTCAGTTAACCGAAAATGTATATCACCTAGGCGACTTTTTACATCAAATTTTTCCATTGGACTTTTTGCGATTTGTCATTGGCCTGAAACCTTATGTTGGCCAATTTGAAACCCAAGTAGAAATTGTAGCAAACATTTTAATTAAAGCAAAGACATCACAAAGTGTCGTTCAGTATTGGACTTTGCCCGCCCCACTTGTTGTCCATATGATTAATTTCAAATTAGATTCGCAGTTTTATGCCACTTGACAGTTGTTGTGGCCCGGTCGTAGAGTAGTAATTACTTTTCCAGTTTTGTTGCTTAAAAAAAACCATAAACATATTGATTTTCATCTTACACAGAATGATGAATGAACACTTCAATTATAAGATCTATTGTTCTAATTAGCTCTGAAGGGTTGTTATTAGTTGCCGATCTCGCTTTCAATGATATGTATGATGTTTAAAGGTAGTAAACACAAACTATTTTTTTTACCCTCACGGGTATAATAACTTTGTCTTGATCAATTTCCGTTTCTATTCAAAAAAATAGACTCTTTTCTCTCAACTCAAATGTTTGATCTTTAGATGAAAGATGATCCTAACCTATGAAATCATTATTGAAATCAATTAAAATTATCTTGTAGCTCCCATAAGGGTCTAAGTTCATTTATAGAGAATTTTTTTGGCCTTTCAAGACCAAACTTACCAAATCGAGCTTCCTTATACTTCCAAAATATTAGCAATATCTTTTTTGAACATGGTTTAACTACATTCCATGGGAATATTTCAAGCATTTTGTTGTGTGCCTAAGTAGAAGAAAAAAATGGGATATATAATATTTTTGAATTTCTAATTTTTTGGGACATAAAATATTAAGTATGATTTCTACTAAAATAAAAGGCCAAATATTAACTCGAAACTTATAGAAAAAAAACGTATCTTAAGAAATAAAAGAACTTAAAAGTAGAGAGAGAAAATAAATACCTGTAGGCATAAAAATATATATAATCACAATTCTGTAATTCGATAAACCGAAGGTAACTGAGAACGATTCGGATAATTCTTGGAACACAGATTAATATCAGAAATTTGATTACATTTTCAGTATCTGGAAATGCGCTTCCATTCGGTCATACGTAGCATAGCATCGTTTATGTTTATTTTGGATGAGGTGAGTGTTCCTTTCGAGCCGTAGACTTTCTAATCTAATGCCTTTTCATTTTCAGATACTATTTTTGCCATTTGTTGTATATGTGCCAGCCATAGCCTTAAATCAAGGTAATCATCTTTCAGGATCTCCATTTCCAGCTCATACTTTTAACTTCTCCGTTTTTGTCTCTACAGTCTCTGGCATCAATTTGCATGTGATATCATCGGTTATTGTTATTGTGTGCGTTTTCTATACCTTTGTGGGCGGCATTAAGGCTGTGGTGCACACGGACGCCTGGCAGACGCTGGTCATGTTCCTCTCGGTGCTGGCTGTCGCCGCCTTGGGCACCTACTATGCCAGCGGGCTGGAAAAGCTGTTTGATGATGCCGCCAAGGGCGGTCGCCTGATATTTACCAATACAAATCCATCGCCCTATGTGCGTCACACCGTTTGGAGCGTGCTCATTGGTGGCTTCTCCTACTGGACTTCCTTTAATGCCGTCAATCAGACCATGGTGCAGCGTTACATGTCGCTGCCATCGCTGAAGCAGGCGCGTGCATCAATGGCCATATTTACGATTGGTGTGGCCGCCTTTGTTTCCGTTTGCTGCTTTGTGGGTCTGCTGATCTTTGAGAAGTACCAGGATTGCGATCCGCTGAGTGCGGGCCTGATTACCCATGACGATCAGTTGCTGCCGCTGTATGTGGTTCAGAGCGTGGGGCATATACCCGGCATGGCGGGTCTGTTTATAGCGGGCATCTTTGGTGCCGCCTTGAGTTCACTTTCGGTGGTGCTCAATTCCACATCGCTGGTCATACTGGAGGACATTGTGCGCGGCTGCTTCAAGATGCAGCCCAGTGAACGCGCCGCAACTGTGCTGGTCAAGAGCACCATTATCGTGCTGGGTGTGCTGGCGCTCTCGCTGGTCTTTGTGCTGGAGCATCTGAGCGGCATATTGAGCATCTGCACCTCCATGACGGCAATTGCGGCGGGCACCACTTTTGGCCTCTTCACGCTGGGCATGCTCGTGCCGTGGGCTAATAACATAGGCACAGCCGTTGGTGGCATTGCCAGCGCTTTGCTAGCCGGTTGGATATCCTTTGGCACACAGTTTAGCATAGCGGCGGGTGAGCTCAACTCCCAGAAGCTGAACGTTTCCGTGGAGCACTGTACGACAAATGTGACGCTGCCCGACACTGTTTGGGTCGACGAGGAACTGGTGTTTCCACTGTATCGTTTATCCTATCACTGGATCAATCCCATTGGCGTGGCAACGGTTATTGTGGTGGGCTCCATTGTATCACTGCTGACCAAGCCGACGGATGTGAAGACACTTGATGCGGAGCTGATATCGCCAGTCTTGCACAGATTTTTGCCAAAGGAATGCTTTACCGGACGCCAGCAAACGAACCTACTGAGCCGCACATAAATACAAATGCAGAAGCAATTGTACATATACCCTAAAAAGAAATAGTTAGCAGAAGAAAAAAAAAGAATTCCCAAACAATACGTTGTGGACAAGCTCTAATCGGAGATGCAGCTCCTACATTCTATAAGTTAGTTAAGCCCAACATAATCTTAGTTTAGTAAGTAGTACAAATTGCAGTTCGGTTTTGTGTAAAGGCGCACACACACAACGTTTAACATGGTACAGGAATTTATGAATCTGCATACACAAGTTGTTTGTTGTATTATTATTTATATATATACTTATGTAGCTTTATTGAAACTGTTTCTTTTTTTTTTGTTTGTTTGTTGAATTCCAGTTAAAACGTATTACTTTGGCATTTTTGTTTGTTCTTGTTCAATTAGTCAGCATACTGTCTCTCAAAATGAGTGTATTCCGTGTGACTTAGCAAGCATTATGTCTGTGATAAAAATTTAATAAATATACATATATGTATATATTTATATACTATATAAGAAGTTGCCATTGCCATTGCCATTGATATGAAAAATGTTTGTTGCAATTATTTTGTGAGCAAAAGCGCATATCCTAGCATAGTATGCTACCTAAATTAGTTAAATTAAGCCCCTAATTTGGCCATGAATCACAAAATGATGAATACTTCGTACTACGTACTCCAGTTAAGGTTGTTTCTTCTGTTGCGACATCTCCTCCATCGTCTGTCCCCTGCTGCTCAAATACTTTCTCAGCTGGAAGGCAATTAGCACAAGGCACGCAACACCTGCGCTCACATAGCTGTTGTAGACAAACTGCTGCGGCAACATTTTGCACCTGAACACGGCATAGTCATCCGGCGTAATTGTGGCCTAAAATAATAATAAAATCAAACATTTGAGGATGATAATAGAAAAGTGCCCTGCTTACCAGCATAAAACTGGGATTGACATTGTTGCGCCAGCTGAAGGAGGCCACCGTGTACTCATCAATGCCCAAGCGATTGATGTTGTGACAGTAATAATGCGAGTGCCCGGCAAATGCCAATCGCGGCTTCAGCAGCTCACCCAGCGTGTCTGTGGCGTCCTTGGAGAGCACATGATAGCGCTCGCGAAACGCTTCTATGTGTGGGGCATCGTGTTCCCGGCATACCTTGTCCGATATGCGATATGTGGGAAAATGTTGCATAATTATGGGCTGACTATATGGATGGCGGCGAGTACGCGCGCATTCCGCAACATGCGGCTGCTGCATGCAGTGCAGCGTGCTCGATATATTCTTTAGCGCCGACTCCGCCTCTGTGCAGAACATGCAGCCGTCTGCCTCCATGGCCATCGAGTTGATAACCACAAAGTGTATTTGCTTGATGGTGTACAAATGCACCTTGGAGTAGTTGAGATAGTTTTCAAAGCGCGTCATAAAGAATGGATGCATTCTGCAGACCAGAAAATCTTGAATCTGATTTGGATTATTCCACTTGGTCGCTACTCACTTGTAGTGGAAGCCGACGTCATGATTGCCGACCACACTGATAAGCGGTATGCCCGCAGGTAGATTAAACATCTGTAGATAACGCCAAACGTACTCCTGGAATTGCTTATCGCTAACCATGTCGCCCTCGTCGAACAGATCGCCAAGGACAAAGACGACGTCCGGCTGCAGCAGCCTGGAGGCTGCCTGAAAGGAGCGTGTCATGTGCCACTCGCGGTAGAGCTTGTCCAGCCAGTGCCCGCGATGTGGGCCAAGCAAATGGGGATCGGCTATGACCATGGCTCGCAACGGATCATCCACATATTTCTTGCGCCGGATCTCTGGCCATTTGCATTTTTGCAGTACCACAAAATCGGCAACGTATTCGCAAAAGATAATCGCGCACAGTACAATCACAAAGCAAGCGTAAATCCAACGCATATTTTAATAAATTATAAATTAATTAACAGCCGGCGGAATAAACAAATGCAAAAAACGCAAGTCCACGCCGTAGGGCTGCCACAAAATCGCGTTACGTGAACCAGGGATGCCGAACCTCGCGCGCTAAATTTATTGCGTATTGCAGCATAGTTAATTTTACATAAATGCCATTTATTCCTCTCGACATTAGTGCGCTTCATTTCTTTTTAATTTTGAATAATTATACTTTTATTTTATATTTTGTTACCAGCTAAATACAGCGTTGTCCTTTTGTTTTTTTAAACTTTGCAAATTATTAAGTTCAAACTACCATCATTACAATGTCTATCGATAAATCGATAATTGATTCCCTTCGCGCCCAATGGCAACCGCAATAGATTCGCTTTTGCTCAGTTAAAATTGTTTTTGAAAATTTATAGAAAAATCGCAGATTTTATTTAGTGCTATTGCCATATGTTGCATAATATCAACCATCAGATTCGAACACAGATATTTACTTGATTGGAATGCATTGCTTTAAAAGAGATCGTAAAAGTAATCCAAGCCTTGGCCCAGCTCCCAAATGGAGATACCAACGCCCAGCTGCTGAGCCAGCTGGATGCGCTCATTGATGGAGTAAAGCGTTGGATAGAACACGATATGACGACCAGTTTCAGTTCTAAAGAATGCTCCTGGTAAGCTTTTTAAATATAAGCTAGAATTAAAGGCTACTCACTTGATCTCAAAGAAGTTTTCCACATCCCGCTCATCATGGGTCAGCTGCTTCTTTACGTGCCTGACTAGCTCCAAGTACTGGCCGTATGTAATGGGTCCGCCACCATCTGGCGTATAATCATTTCCATACATATTAAGACCCATCAGGATCTTAGCACGCTTTGCCTCCATGTCGTGGCAGCCAACTGGCGCAATATTCTCCACTGCATTGCGTACCCAATAGAGCGGAGCATTGGCTCCGGGACGTTGCACGCTCGAGTAGTCGTAGGTCATTAGGGAGAAGGCATAGATATGCTTGTATAATTTATCCATGTGCTTTTCACCAAACAAGTTTGGCATGTCCTTGCGTTTTGGGGGTATGACCAGTATCAGGCGTATTTGTTGCTTTTGCAGCTCCTTGGCTGCAAAAAAAAACGATTAGTATATGAAGGCAATCATTTCATATCATATTTAATGGCAAAGTGCACGCACCCATTTGCAGCACCAATGTGAAGAGTATCTTATCATCAATCCGACCGGCCAGTTGCGACCATACCTCCAAGATCAGTCCATCGAATCCATGCTGCTTGCACGTCTGGATCAGCATTTCGTTTAGATTTGTGCGCTCCTTGGCATCGCTCAGCAGCAGCTTGATATCCCGATCGGTAAAGTGATCAAATATAATGCGTGGAAATACTGCAATGTGTACAACATGCAACATTAGAGTAGCTATTTAAGGCAACAAGGATTCGTTTAAGCACCTTTTACTGTGCGCAGCTGATGCTGTTGCTGCACCTTGCCCTTGCGTCGCACATCATTTAGCCAGCCGGCGTCAATGTCGTGTGTGCCGGCGACAGCATAGTCATCGCCCTGCTTGACTATTTGCAGCCAAACAGGTGATATGATGTCAAACTTCTTGGCAAACATTTTGGCCACGTCGTAGCCATGGGAGTTCCACTGCAGAAAAGGCGACAATTGGTGAGGGATTCATGTATTTATTCATTTGCTAATACTCACGGGTGTTACATAGCCCAGTATTGTGCCATTAAAGCGGCGTTTTCCTGTGTCCTTGTAGTACGCCTCGTGGTGTATTAGTATGTCCTTTGCCAGAGGCTCCGCTGATACCAGGTCCAGCTCAAACACATCGTTGTCTTGCGGTCCACGCAAAAACTTTGATTCTCTGTGCTTGTTTTTGGTTTTAGTGTTGGGCGACAGGGTGCACAGCGCGTACTGACAGCTCAGCAGGATGCAGTAAATGATATGCGCCTTGGTTGAGCGCATTTTACTAGCACCGATTAGGAACACCTGGCAGCTGCCTCAATTAAATACATTTATTTGCACAAAGGCAAAACATTTACCAAACACAGCCAAAACACCGGCACAATTGTAAGCCTGCTCGATAGCGATAGCAATAATCGATAGCATATGTATAATGCGCCGTTTTCACTGCGCAGCCGTTTCCACGGAATGCGAAATAAACTATTACAGTTCAAGTTAACTTTGTTCAGCTAAAACAGGATGTGAAATGAACCAATGGTTCCAAATCCTATCAAGTACCTCCGTTAGCCAACTGCCCATTTTGTTATTGAAAAGGCGCATTTTTTAAACGTATGCATGCATTTGTATACATATATAGTTATATTTAAAGGTGTACACTGTATAAATTAGGGGGGTTATCAACATAATGCTGTTTAGCTTAACATCAAAATTAAATTAAACTTAGTGCATAGACTAACAGAAAACTACATACACTCAAGTAGCCAAAACTAATTATCACTTTTAAAAAAATGAAAAAAATTGATTTAAAAAAAGTGTAAAATAATGAACATAGCGCTAGGGTATACATAATTGTATCGTATCATAATCATAATTGATAATCATAATCAATTGTGTTGCATATAGCATATTTTTTGTATAATTTATGTATATGTATATTCAGACAAATACACGCATTAGATCGCTGCCCACCGAGTTGCTGCCCGGCGTGGAGCTGTTGCTCTTCCATGGATTGCCGACGACATTGCCGGCACCGCTGCCGCCGCCGCCAACAGTTGCAGCTTGTATATTGCTGCTGTCGGACAACGTGCGCATCAGCTGTTTCTTCAGCAACTGTTGCTGTGGACTTGGACTACCAATGGCATTGTTGTTGCCGCCGTGCAGCTGCAGCGGTAAATGCATTGGACGCTGTCGCATAAATGATCGATTCCCGTTGTTTTTGCTAATTAGCGACTGTCGCTGATGACGCGCCGCCAGCAACTTGCGACGCTTCTCATAGAAACTATGCATGCGCTTGTTCTCCTCCTGCTGCTGCTGCTGCAACTGTTGTTGCTGCTGCTGTTGTTCGCTGGCTTCATTGTGTTCAGCCTTCTCCTTATCCTTCTCCCTATCCGCTGGCGACTTCACCTTGCCCGACAACAGTTCGTTCAGGCGCTTTACTGTCATGCTGTTGCCAATGTTGCTGTTGCTGCTGCTGCCCAGGCGACTGAGCAAGGCACGCTTGTTGCATCTGAGCCGCTCCTGTGAAATAATGCTGCACTTTTGCGCATATATTGTCTTGCCTTGGCTGTTGCCATTGCGCGGCAGCAGCAGCAGCTGTGTCCCATTGCCATTGCAGTTTACCGTTGGCGGCGGCGGTGGCGGACGAGCCAGTGTGCCGACAACTCCGCTGGTGCCGTTCAGCGAGAGTAAACTATTGTTCGCCTTGCGCGTCATTAGCAGATTCTTGCGCAGCGTGGCGCCCATGCCATTGGGCAGCTTGACCAGACCAAAGGTGTTCATGGCCAGCGGACGTGGCGGGCCCGCATAAAGTGTCATATTAAAGTATGTTGAGTCCTCAAGATATTTGGCATTGGCCAGTTGGCGATGTGGCTGTGCTTGCAGCACGCTTTCATAGCTATTGTATGTGCTGCTGTTGTTGGTAGCTTGTTGTTGTGGTTGTTGTTGTTGTTGTTGTGGCTGGTTTTCCAGCTTGACAGTCTTTATGTGGTTGGCTTCCGCGCTAACAGTCTCCAGTTTTGTAAAATCAAAATCGCTTAGTTCATCATTAAAATGATTGGCCACGCCCACGCCGACGCCCTCCGTTGCTGCCTGCAACACATTCACATTGACATTGACATTGACATCAACATTGTCGTAGCCCGCTTGGTTTAGAAATTCAGCTATGACTTGCTGCTGACTCTGCTGATCCAGCACAGACACCTGATTATTATCGCTAATCTCATAGATAATACTTGGTAGCATCATGTGCTCATCGGCGCCCGCTGCTGCCACCTCGGGCGACTCAGCATCATCTGTCAGCGAGGGCACATTGTAGACGCTAAACTGTGCCGTTGCCGCCGCATTAAGCTGCTCCTGCTTCAATTGTTGCTGCTGCTGTTGTTGTTGCTGCTGCTGCTGATCCGCCTGCTCCAACATTTGCTGCTGCTGATAGATGAGTTGCTGCAGCTGCATGGCATCCATGGCAGTTAGCTGCGTTTGCTCTCCATCCTGCTGTGGCTCCTCGCTGTACACCTGTGGCACCTGCTGCTGCTGTTGCTGGTAGAGCGCCGTGGCATAGTCAGCGGCATCGGCATTGATGGTGCCATCATCATAACGCAATCGCTTCGTTATTGGCTCATGCTGCTCTGCCGACAGCTGCTGTTGCTGCTGTTGCGCCTGCTGTTGTGACTGTGTTGTGTCCAGTGCGCTCTCATCGAAGGGTATGTCCGACTCGACGGTGCTTAGAATCTCATTGATAAACTTGCTGTCGAGCATGTCGTCCAGTGTCAGTGATATGGAATTATCATCGGATGTATTTTGCATGGGCAGTGGCTCCTCGGTGACGGCCGACAAATCGACCTGATGCTGGCGTTGCAGCTGCTGCTGCTGCTGCTGTGACTCCACATCCACCTGGCCAGTTATTGAGGAGACGGCCTGATCCAGCTCACTTAGCTGTTGCCCATAAAGTGGCGCCATTTGCTTCTCCTTGGCAGGTTTGCTGCGATGATGCGACGCTGTCTCAGCTGCTGCTGCTGCTGCTACCGATCCTTTCAGCTGCAAAAAGCAATCAGACGATTAGAATTCGTATGCTTACCAAAATAGTTGTTCGATATTTCAATTGTATTTAATTACTTTTATTGCACATATACATTATTAAATATAAATTTATATATATATATTGTTAAAGATGCACTTCTTAGGCTGTTCAAATGGATATGTCGAGTCGAAGCCTGGCTAAAATACATATTATGGATCTATAGGTGCCTCGAAATTCGAGGCGCAAAAATGTATATATATATATATATGAATTTGCTTTTAGAAAATTCTAAACATTTCTAATCATGTGAAATGATACAAAAACAAGAGTTTTCTTCGGCTTTGCCGAAACTTTAATACCCCTACAGCGGTTGCATGCATAACTCTTCTAACTTGTAAGAAAATTGTTTTCGAATTATTTAGAATACCGAAGGAATTATTAACAGTCAGATTCTTGAAAATGTGGCGATAATATTTTGAATTTTTTTAAACAGGATTTGATTTGGGTTTTGGCTTGTTTTCAAGCAATTAATTAGGTTTATGGCTCGGGCAAAACCTGGTACTGATTTTGCTGAATATCTATCAAAATGTTTTTAAAATAAAAATACATTTTTAATCGATCGGTCCTATGACAGTTTTACCATATATATATATATATATAGTAATCCGATGTAAAATATACTTTGGTAAAATTTTAAATACATAAAAATACTTTAAATAATGAGAGCTATATTATATATATATATATCAATCTGACGCTGATAAGATTTAGTTGAAAGCAAAGTGAAATGAAAGTGGGAAATGCGGAGCTTAGATATTTTAAAAGACCAAAAATATATTCATCTTATGTGACAATCAAAAACTAGATGAAATCTTCAATGCTTAACAAATGTCATGACAAAGTTATTATAACTATTGCAAGGGTATTTATTTTAAAGAGTATATTATACGTATACACTACCTTCTTTTTACTTGGCTGCGTCTCGTCCAACATATTGGCTAGTTGGGCGGGCGCGTGGGAGTAGTTGACGGCATGCTCGTTGCCACTGCTAGCGACAGCCGCCAGCGTTGGCGTCGACGGCAGCGAGCACGACGAATTGGATGAGGATGAGAAGACCGTTATGGGTGGCTGTACAGTTGGCGGCGGCGGCGCCTCATCCTTGACAGCGACTGGAGCAGCTGCAGCTGCCGGGATTGACGCTGGAGCGGCTGTTGCTATGGCACTGGCACTGCTCTTTTTGGAGCCCACCTTGTGATGCACATCCGAATGGTGGCGATTCTTGGACGACTTGGAACGCGAGCGACCTGTGCTGCTGCTGCCGCTGGTCTTTGAGGAACTGGTACTCTTGCTGCTGCTGCTTTTATGACGCGACGACGATGATGACGAGGCCGAGCTGCTGGAGGCGTGCGTGTTGCTGTTGTTATTGGCAGCAGCTTGCGAGCTGCTGGAGCCATTCGAGCAACTGGACATGGTCGCCGATAGCGTGTCGGTGGGTGAGCCCAACAATTCCGGCGGTTCACGCACCCCGTCCTGACTGTTCTCCGCCACAGCAGCTGCTGCAGCATTAGAGCGCGCCTCCGTGCCGTTCAGCTTGTTGGGTATGGCATCCCAGATATTGGGATGCTGTAGCGCAATATGATTATTGAAACCAACTTTTGTGTAGCTGCCACTGCACGCATTGCACACAACAATGTCGCGTGTCGCCTGCTTGGGCACCATATCATAGTAAGCCATGTCCGCGGCATTTAGGCGCTGCACCTGCACCACATGTGGCGCTTGTTTTGCTTCATTGCCAGTTGAACCAGAGCCACCGCCGCTGCTGTTGCTGTTGCCACCAGCTCTGCTAGCGCCACGCAAATGCATCTTTTCGGCGGCGCGCAATTGTTTGATCATCTTGTCCAAGTCCAAGGCAGTTTGCCATTTTTGGCCCTGCATATTGGCCAGCGCCAGACTAGTTGCTGGCGCCAGCATGCTGCCCAGCTGAGCAGCAGCGGCGGCGACGGTAGCACCGCCAGCAATGACGTCTGCCTTGGATGAGTTGGTCATGTTGCTGGCAGCACCAGTTCCAGTTCCAGTTGTTGTTGCTGTTGAAGGTGGTGTCGTGGATGGCGGCGGCAGCGCCTTAGTGTGCTTCGTTGTGCCGTTGCCGTGCTCCGTATAGATTAGTGCTGCGGCCACATCACTCATGGGCATGTTGGTTTCCTCAAGTTGCCTGGCAGTGAGAATGATCCGTGAGGCAATGGCAATGCAAGGTGGCAGCTGCTGGCGGCCAATATTGATGAGGGTAAACAGAGTTAGCTTGGCGACGCGAGTGGCATTGTCTGCAAGAACAAAAAAAAAAAAAACACATTAGCATTCAAATTCCCAGCTGCCTTACTAATTGTTGATCGCACAGTGCATTTGTAACTGTTCAGTGATGGCCAAACTGCGTTGCTGCACAATGTTGCGACACATGTTGCCTGGTCAAAACAGCTGAGTGCTGCTGTCAGAGTGGCTAAAATGCAAACGCAGGCATCGGGTTGGCAGCCCTGGCGTTACCAACACAAATGCAACATATGCCATCCTGTTCGCACTTGTGCGCTTAACACACATACAACACACACACAATCACCCAACCACAAAAAAAAAAACAAAGCCCGTTTTAAAAACAATACACACAATAAATTATGAACTTTTTGCACTGCATTCAAATAATTACTTGAAACGTTCCAGTTTTGACTTACATGTGCGTTAACGTTAACACAATTCCATTGTGTTCACTCGGCTTGCTGTTTAGCCAATTTTCATTCGCCTTGCCGTCGCCAGAGTTGTCAAAGTGTTTCGCTTATCAATTTATTAGAAATCCGCATTTGCGTACAGATGCGATTGTTGCATGTCTGCATTTGACAATTTGTTGCAGGAGTTGATTAAGAGTATGCCGCCTATTTAATTTAATTTTCAACTATAAAAGAACGCTGAGCTCGGATAAATTTGTTGCTCATAAGTGCAGCTGCGCTGCAGCAACAGCAATCGATAGCTATTAATCGATAATATTGGCACGGAGGGCGCGGTTTTTGAAAAAGACTAAACATATAAAAAGATCGTTTGGTATTTAAAGTATTTATTATTTGTTTTAAGACGCGGCAATGTTAATAGCTGTTTACTTAAATTCAAAATATAAGATATATACAGTGGAGTGTATTTTAAGGCAGCCTCTGCGGACAGACGAACACAATGAACAAATCTCTTGGTTTTCAAATGAGTACATAAGTTGGTTAGTTGTGTGCTTTAGCCCTGTTTGATTTGTTTTTGCTTCAGCAACTTGAACTCTGGCGCCCACACAATATTGTTAACGAACTCGCCCAGCAAGTAGCAGGCCAAACTCAAACCGACTAAACCGAGGAACATTAAACAACGCAGCGGCACCGGCAAAACCTCGAGCAAGGGATAAACCCACTGACCGCTAAAATAGCGCACAATATTCACCCAAATGATGTAGAGGAGCATAAACGCCACGTTGCCGGTGACGCCGGCCAAGCGGCTGGGATAGCGCCGGAAGCAAGTAAACATATCCATGATGGCCAATAGCGCAACATTCGTATGAACCACATGATTCAGCCAGCTGCAATAAGAAAGTGTTAAAAGCTGATACGCATAAACAGAAAATGGAAAAAGTAAAACTTGCTTGGGAAAAATAAGGTCCAGGGCGGCGGGAAAGATGAGCTCACGATCCCATACATAAATGACCCAGAAGGAAATGCACACATTATGCGCAATGGGAAATGCGAACGTGGCGAATATATAATCACGCACCTGGCGCAGACAGGACTTTGGAGCCACGGTCACGGTGTTGTTGCCGAAGATATCATTCAGCAGCGCCACGCTGTGATAAATGGCCTGCACGATGACATCGAGAAATGTCAGATACTTGAATTTGCCACCCCAGCGCGTTTTCAGCTCCTCCTCCTCATGCAGACCCTTCGGCCAGTGCAGTTTGAATAGATAATAGTAAATCCCGTAGCAGAATTGTGCCGCCGCCAGCAGGTGAACCAAAAAGCGCAGGTAACTAAATGCGCCGCTCGTGTAGGCATCGTTGCACGTCTCCAGTCGCGCGTTGGTGACTTGAACGGCTTCCCTTGCAGCGTGCTGTTCGCGCAATTGTTTCTTACTCTTGGCCATAATTTTTGAATAAAATAATTTACAATTTACAGTGGCGGCGTTTGCAGATGGAGCTGCCAGGGCTGCAGCAGAGCAACGCGTGTTATTGTTTACATTATGCATAAAAACTGCCTGTATGATACGACATTATATGAGCGTATAAAATATATGTTATTAACGATATTTAATGAATGTTAAGTGTTTTTATCATTTACTTGTTTACTTTGTTATTATTTGAATTAATGGCATAGCATTTTTTTAATTATAGCCGCACTATTTCCACTCATCAAATTAAAATAAATGAAATCGCTTGATGTCGTATCATACAGGGTTAACATTTTTAACAGAGTTTCGCTCTTCTAACTTAACAGCGTTTACATTAACAGCAATTGGAAAACAGCTGTTGATTGTTTTGGTTAAAAAAAAGAATTGCGCAAAATTTTTGGGCATGTGGAGAAAAATATTATTTAATGCACAAAATGTGCTCAAAAAGCAACAACAAGTATGCGTAAAAATAAATTATACCTTAAGTAAACTCTAAACAGCCCAAATTTTGCAGTTTAAGAGTCAAACTGTTCGCCATTTGGCAGCAAAGGCGGCCGCGCCAAAGCTGATGCAACTGGAGCAGCTACACATCGAGGAGGCCATCAAGTTGGAGCCCGCTTTAGCCATTTACACGCCCGAGAATTGGCAGCGTGCACACGAAACATTTCAGAATCATGGTCTGGAGACCGTTAGCTTTCTGCGCATCGTTACGGGCAATCCAACCGTACTGAAACGCACACCGGAGCGCCTAATTAATAGCCTAGAGATTTGGCGCGCCTGTCAGTTTGGCGAGCACCTGTTGCATCTCCTGCTGACCAAATACCCCGAGCTGCTGGACGTTAGCGATGCCCATCAGCTGCTCTCACTGAGCGCCTATCTGAAGAGTCGACTGACAAACAATAAGAACGTGTGGAAGCTGCTAATGAATAGTCCGGATTTGCTGGTGCAATCGGAAAAAACCATTGAGCAGAAGTTAAACTATATGTTCGATATAATGCGCATCGAAGTGCCTGAAATAGTTAAATCCGCGGCGCTGTCGCTGCCCTTCGAGGAGCTACGCTGTCGCCACACATTTCTGCTGCGCTTGGGCCTCTTTAAGCCACGTGCACTCAAGGCGGATCCCAATGAGCCGACGACAAACAATCGACTATATCAGATAACGGATACATCTGAGAAATCCTTCGCTACCAAAATATGCCATGTCACGCTGCCAGAATATGAGGCATTCCAAGAACTATTCGCCCGCGAGTTAGAGCGCAAGTCCCGGAAAGCCAAAGATGAAGATGAGTTTAGTGATGAAGAAGATGCTTAGATTTCTAGTTACTACATTATATATTATACAGTAATTAAATTAATGATTGTTAGAGAACGTTAATTTTATTAAAAAGTTTTTCAATTCAAATAATCAACAATAAGATACAATCGATTAATTTTGCTAGCCTGTTTATTTGAACAGCGTACCCTGCCTGAACATCGCTGTTAAGTTGGACAGCACGTTTACACGTGAATGCCAAACACTTCCTATCTTGTCCGTGTGGGTGGCTCAGGGGGAGTTTTATTCAAAATTCAATTAAAATTATAAATATATTTTGAGGTGCCCGAATACAATTAGAAATAAATTGGCAGCAGGACAAGCCACAAATAAATGGCCAAATTCCGACAGATGTCACAGTGTATATAGTTCAGCGGCAAATACACCCACAAAAAAACCCCGTCTTTCGCTTACGCATTGCCCGAAATCCATGACAGCATGTCCGGTAATCCATTTGATAGCGCCGATGAGGAGCCCAGCGCTAGCAGTGACGAGATACTGGAGGGCTTTCTGTGTCCTATTTGCCGTGCCGATTTGAAGTCCATCGATTTTTTAACCGAGCACTTTGCGCGCCAACATGCCGAGGAGGAGGATGCACTAAAGTCCGTCTTCAAGGATATATTTACCAAAGCCAAGAAAAAGATTCTGAACAATTTCGAGGATGAGCGCAATCGTGCTGCGCAGCCAGCAGCCACGCCCTCTGCCGGCGCAACCAATGCAGCTGGTCCTAATGGAGCCAAAGCGAGCAATGCGCGAACGCAGCTCAATGTCTACAACAATATGTCTAAGCAGAGTGCGGGCGCAGAGCGCTCTCACTTTGAGTACTTTCAAACGGTGCGTAATCCTCGGCTGGAGCGATATGCGAGCGAAACGAATAAGCTGATCATAAGGCTGCATCGCCTGCTTAAGGATTTGCCCACGGATGCGGTGCAGCGCAAGCAGCACGAACAACAGACAGTGCCTTGGTTAGACGGCAGCTCCGTTAAGCTGTGCCCCAACTGCGCCAAGAGTTTTCACATAGCCCGCCGACAGCATCATTGTCGGCTCTGTGGCGGCATTATGTGCCACGACTGTTCCCGTTTCCTGCAGCTGGAGAATGCAAGTAGGTCATGCATTGCCCTGTTTCGCATCCCTACTGTATATACTGTATATTTTTTGTGCAGTGCAATTGGCCAGCTTGTCAACGACACGTGGCGAGCCTTTGCAACAGAAGCAGCATCAGGAGTATCGCGCCATACGCCTCTGCCAGCATTGCTTGTGGCTGCTGGACACGCGTCAGGACATGCACGAAAGCCGCACTTGCCACCCCTTAATGTCTCAGGTCTATGAGGAAATCAGGCAGCTACAGAAACAAGTGACACCCGATTTGGACATGTATCTAAAGATTGTTAACAGTCTGCACGATGGTGAATCCATATTCACGATTGCGGATGCAGGCGCATTGCGCGGCAAGATTGGTCAAGTTGCTGAGAAAATTGATTTGCGCAGCAAACGCATTTTGACCATACACTCGGAACCGGGCAGCCGTGATGAGGCGCTGAAGAAAGCCATACGCTTGAGCTGCGTGCAGGCCATAAAGGAACGCATGCTGTCACTGCCGCCGCTGCCGGACGAGGCGTATATACGCCGGATCCAGGAGCGCAAACGCATGGAAACCGAACAGCGCATTCTCACCGAACAGCGTATGGCCATGGAGGCCTACGAGCGCAAAGGCTTGGCGGCGCAGTCCGGCGTTAGTCTGGAAAACCGCAGCTTTGCCCAGGGCGTAAGTTAATCAAAAACCAGCAGCTGTTGCTTACGAATTATTATACACTTGCGGCGGGATATTCAAGTTATGTTAAGCGACGTGTAACACGTTGAATGAGACATAAGGCCACAGACCATGTCCGACTATGTGCTTCTATGCAAACTGGCTCCTCCGTTTCAAAGCATTTTGCGAAAATTGTGTTTTTTTTGTCTTTCCAGATATCTTAACTAAGCACTTACACGATTAACTCTGGGCATAGGGTATCTCCTAGTCGGGCACTACCGACTAGAGCACATTTCCACTCCATTTAATTAAAATTCTTTGCAGTCTGATTTGCAATCGTTAAACAACTGGTCGGCGCCACAAGCATCCGCGGCCATGTCGAGCGTGGACGATCCGCTGATTGAACAAATCAACATAATTAAGGGCTATATTAAGCAGGCGCGTGAGGATCTGAATTTTGATGTGGTCGAGACGCTGGAGCTAAATCTGCGCGAGCTACAGCGCGAGGTGTACGAGCGACAGAGGCAGTCGGGCAACAGTGCCACAACACCCCAGTTGGACAGCTAAACATGCCTATAGATATGCAAATCTATATGAATATAGATGTGAACTATAATTATAGTTGAAATATATATGCATATGTGTTATATATAGATATATATTATTTTTACATCCATTCCCGCTATTGACTAAATAAATGTGCAAATGTTATTTGGCTTGCGTGTGTATTTTGTGCAGACGAAATTGTGCGTACTACATGTGAGAAATGCATTTCCTTCTGGAGATTTCTAACTTAATGCCAGCATCAGTTTAGGACTTTAGACCCACAGCCGCAATCAGAGATTTCACTTTGGCTATGTATGCAGTTCGGGCGTCAGCGCTGCTCGTGCCCTTTAGCTTGTTCCAGGCCTCCCATTTGGACTTGCCCTTGAAGTCCAGGAAACCGGGCTTATCTGTACAAATTGGGGAAAATTAAAGTTGAAAGGTTAAATGAATAACTTTAGGCCTCACCTGTATTGCAATCTCCCACATTGGCCTGCTTGAATAAGCCATACAGTTCCAGCAGATCGCTGTCGGCTGGTGTGCTGTTTAAGTTCTTGACATCCTCGGCGGCTTGGTTGAACTCCTGGCAACATGCAGCATGTTTTTTTCTACTGTTTAATGTATATTTTATATTAATTTTCGCACATTTACCTGTTCAGACATGATTAACTATTTATTTTTCTATGTTACTGTTCATCTCTAAGAGCAGTCGATAGTTAACACGAGAAAGCGCCACTGTTATTTAACAGCCACAGGGCTGGCAGCTGTTAAGCATAAAATAAAATGGTGCAAAATATTTAGCTAATTTATTATTTAAATAGTGCCAGCTTAGTATAATGTTACTTTAAAAAATTAATTCAACAATTTGAACACACAACTATACTTATATCATTTAGCAGCTTAAAAAAAAGCTAGCTATGTTACTGAGTCGGCCAAGTGTACAGCACTGCCTGTTAACAGTCGCTCTCTCAACGTTTACAGCCGTTCTGTTTACAGCTGTTATTACGCGTCGAACTTTCATAGCGGGCGGACGTGTTTGCGCGTGGGCGTCTTTTCATTAAAAAAATCGAAATCAAAACGCAACTTAAAGAATTTAATAATATAAATAGTGTGTGTAAATTAAATGCAAATGCAGTGCGGCGCCGCACAGAAGTGTTCGCTGCAATAAAAATTCGCGAGCGCAATATCGAAGAGAAAGTGCCAACAAGAAAAGAAAAGAAAAGCGATTTGTTATTGCTAGAAATTTGTGTGTTGTGTTCTGTTCAGTGTTTGTGTTGTTGCTGCTGTATCGGCGCGCCAGGCGCTGCTTATGCAAATGTGGTATGATTATAAATTTACCTAGCAACTAGTATCCGAAGCATAGACATAGTTTTATGTCTATACATATACATATACAGTCATATATAAATGAGTGTGTGCATGTGTTTATGTATTAAATTTTTTGGCTATGCTAATAGGCCAGCAACACGTAACTGTTATTTTTTTTCTTGTTAGAATTTTGTTTTTTTTTTTATATATATATATTTTTTTGCGTGCATCGATTCCTTTGCAGCGCTGCCGGTGGCGGCGTTGCCCGCTTTTCTATGATGCGATCAATTTGAAGCCTAGTCCCGCAACGCTAGCTGTAACGCACGCTGCCCTTGGCATGAGTGTGTGTGTGCGTGTATGTTTTTTTGTTGTTGTTTTGTGCGTTATTCGTAGCTAAACAAATTTAAGCTACCAGCAACAACAATTGAAGTGCGAAAGGCAAACAAACAACAGCAGCAACGGCAAACAGCAACAACAGTCAACAAAGCCGACTTTTGATTTTCTATTCATATGCGGCATTCCATGCCATTTCCCATTCCCATTCAGCGCTTCTTCCTTCCTGCCTGTGCGCCTGGGTCTCGTTTTCGTTTGCCGCTTTTGTTATTGTTTTTTTTTGTTTCGGTTTCATTTTTTGGCTAGATTTTATCGAAAACTGAAGCGCACACAGTATAAAGCGAGCCATTCATTATATTTTGTTTAAACAAAAGACTTTTTTTCTAGATTTTTCGTATTTTTATTATTTAAGCGTAGTGTAGACTTTAAATTTTTCCCTTAGTTGTGGCATGTATTGTATATCTGTTATTTTCGATTGCATCAGGTTTTATTTTAAAAGTACGGTTTTTGTACGGCTTTTTAAATAACTTTCTGACTTTGATAAATTAAAGATCATGAGAAATTGTGAGTTTTAGGGAGACCTTTTAACTGAAGTCTGAGTAAGTGAGATAGAAAGAGTGTCAGGAAAGAGAGAGGGAGACAGAGTGATGGAACTTTATTTATACATATAAAGAATATGTAAAAGAGAATTAGCTTACAATTCTAAAGCAAACTAACGCTGTCATTGCAACGTTTAAGGATGCGGAACAAAGCAGAATTGATAACAATAGAGCTAGCAGATGCAGCTGCTTCTAGTCGATATTCATTCTTAATTTATTCCTTCTCTCCCTTTCATAATCGCTCTGTCTCTGTTTTCTCACTTTCCTTTTCAGCTGGTTTGTGTATGCAGCTGTTGCTCTATTTATAATTTCATTAACACATTTATACAGCGACATTTACCAACAGCATTCAGTTCATTTAATCTAGAACGCGTTTTCACAATACCTAAATGATCATGTTTAGCCGGCTAACTTTCATTTTCTATATTGCACTTATCCCAACCACAGCCCCAACCCCTTGGCCCGATCATTTTCACTGGTTTTGATAAGCGCGAGCCTCCCCCCTCAATCAATCACTTCAACTTCAATTTACTATTTGCCCCGATTAATGTTGACCCAGTCGTTGTCGCTTTTCCCCCTCATTAGTCACGGCCATTGCAAAGTGCTTTTCACTTAAGTGGGGTGAGGGGGGGCGGACGCTTATCAGCTGCGACGGCTTCTGCCACTTGAGCTGCACTTGGTAGCAGCTGCGCCTTCCTTTGAGCTGCAGCTGACAACGAGCCCACGGTCAGGTGTTGTTGTTGCAATACCCCGTGCCCCTTTTCGATGTGTAAACACAAGGTATATTGAAGTTGTGACGAATCTTGTAACCGGCCAAGAAAGGCACCTTTGAGATTGTAAAGTGTGTAGCTTCTTGGCCAGCATGAATACCCAATACCGAAATAGATTAATATCTATCTATATAGTCCAAATTTAATATGTGGAATGTTTCACTCTTTGGATAACTCGTCCACTCCAACAAAAATTAGAAATTCTTAGATGCAGTTTCTTTCCCCAGATCATACCAACATTCAAATACCAATTTTAATTCCAGATAATGTCAAACTCATCGAACAATAAACAAAGAAGTTATATTAATAATGAAATGTTCATACTGCATGCTACAGGGTATATTCTAGTCTTCCAACTAGAGTACTTCTGCTGTTGACTTTTCTTGTGTCCACGGAGACTTTCGAGTGGCAACTGCAGCTGATGGTTTTGGCCCTAGGCAATGGGCCTTTATAGTTATATCAGTCAGATATGGGGACTATATTCATTTATATGTATTTTTGGAGCTTGCATAAGGTTCTGTTCTCAGTAAAAAATCTATTTGATATTTCGAAAATTGTTTTCGTTTTATTTTTCACTTATTTTCTGCCGTTCGATGATTCAGTTTTCGTGGTTTTTGCATGTTGCGTTTTTCATTAGAACTTTAGAAATGACGCATTCGGTTGACCCCGCCTGCCCCCTTTATAAAGCTTATCAAGTTGTGATTGTGCATTTTTGGCGATACTCTGTAGTATGTATAGAGAGCTGCGATACTCTGTACTTTGCCTAGAGATGGTTTATTTTGGATTGAATATTCAATATTCAACAGACTTGCATTTAAGTTTTATTCATCAATAGATGATAAGCTAAAACCTACATTAAATGTGACACATTTAATCTAGAAATAAGTTATAAATATTTGCGTATTGTGTATTAAACTTAAAAACTCAATTGGTTATACAAATACATACACACTAAATTCAATATTTAATACATTGAATGTATACTGTATAGTTGTGCAGTAAATAGCTAATTTTATATGGAAGATCTTTCTGATTAAACTATTGAATCATTTTTATTTAAAGTATTCATTGCACATATGTATTTATAAAGTATTTTTAATAAATTTAAATGCCATCAGTAATTTTAGAAGTTTATTGGGGCCAAATAAGCGTATTACACAATATATCATAGTATCTATCCTATTAAGAGCAACTGACGTAGTCGCTTGTTAAATAGAACTTAAAAAAGTTCTAATTTCTAAGCAGAAATTCGATTCAATGGCCTGAAAATTTTTGGGTCTCAGTAGGCCGGTGGAAAAAAAGAATTTACCACACTGTTAAACAAAGAGTTTTCCACAAGTCAGTCAGCTGTCTTTTAGAAGGAAAACGAAATTATTAAAGACGCGACTTCAAGTTAATAATTCTATATTCATATTAACTTTCAATTAATTGTAAGATAATACCGAACAAAATGGTTTTTAATGAGAGCGAAGTGTTAGGCCTGGCCATAAACATGGCTGAAACAACAACAGCCGCAGCGAACGAAACAATCGAAACAACAACAATCCAAGCAGTTGAAGCAATCGAAGCAGATGCCAATCCGGAACCCTCGTCAGAGTTGGACATCGTAATCAACAATGTCGTCTGCTCGTTCAGTGTGCGCTGCCATCTCAAGCTGCGCGAGATTGCGCTCCATGGCTCGAATGTGGAGTATCGTCGAGAGAATGGCATGGTCACAATGCGTCTGCGACGTCCGTATACGACGGCATCGATATGGTCCTCTGGCCGTATAACGTGTACGGGCGCCATTTCAGAGCCGCAGGCGAAGGTCGCGGCGCGGCGCTATGCCCGCAGCCTCGGAAAACTCGGATTTCCGGTGCATTTTCAGAACTTTCGCATTGTCAATGTGCTGGGCACCTGCAGCATGCCCTGGTCGATAAGGATCGTCAAGTTCTCGGAACGATATCGTGATAATGCCAGTTATGAGCCGGAACTGCATCCGGGTGTTACCTATAAAATGCGCGATCCCAAGGCCACCATGAAGATCTTCTCCACGGGCAGCATTACGGTGACCGCGGCCAGCGTGAATGCCGTCGAATCGGCCATACAGCGGCTTTATCCATTGGTCCATGAGTTCCGCACCAGGCCGATTGTCAAGTCGCCGGAATCGGAGTCAATGGCCAGCAGCGACCAGATTGCCGGCAAGTTAAGGAGCAAGAAAGAGAATGTTACCTTGAAGCCCGGCCAAGTCAAGCGTCCGCCCAACGTGGCTGGCATCCCCACGCCGATGACCAATGTCAAGTCCGGCATGCGGCGTGAGCAGCCGTCGCCACCGCCAAGGAACTCGGATAGCAATGAGAATATTTGCGGCAATGCTCGCCGTCGTGCTACGGAGTGCTGGGCCAGCAAGCTGCAAAAGAAACGACCACGCTACAATGATGCCGGCTCCATGGCGATCGTCAATGCGGGCAACTTGGCCCGTTCGATCGGTGGCCACGCTAAGTTGCGCTGGAATGCGGCGAGTCTACCCAAAGTGGCGGGCAAGCACACGGGGGATGCCAGCAATCAGGACTCTGACACCGATCAAGATGGGGATGATTCTGCTGAGGAAGTAGAAGATGAGAAGTTCTGGTAGTGCTTGGAGCAACGGGTGCTATGGACAATTAAATCTTATCGATGCGCAATCCTCTTTGCTTAGCTTGAAAACAATCCCTTGTAACTTGAATAATCATTTACTAAACACTACAAGTACTCGTAATATTCTATAAATAACATAAATACTAAGCGTTGATTAAGGCATTCAAATTGTATTTTTCAAACATCGCCTTACTATGCTATTCTCATGAATTTAATTGACTTGTGCTTTGCTAGAGTTTTCTCTTCGTTTTACTAACAAAAACTTTTAGATGCATATATCAGAGATGTCTGCTACAGCATTCAAATCGTATTTGTTTAATATCGCCTTACTATGCGTTTCTCATGAAGTTAAGTAAGCCTTACTGACTTTGTATTTGATTAGTGTTCTCTCTTCCCTTTATAAATAGAGTTTTTGGATAAGTGTGTATATAAATATTTATATGCTACATCATTCAAATCGTATTTTTTAAACAAAACCCCTCTATGCGATTGTCATTAATTTAAGTAAGCCCTGCTGACACATGCTTTGATTCGTGTTTTTAGTGCATGTGTAATCTACCTTCTTCCTTAAACTAAACAAATTATTGCATGAGCACATGTTTATCTATATTTATATGCATTAATCTGAGATGTCTGCTACGGCAATTCAGACCTGGACACGTGCCACATGCTAGTTTATATGTTAATGTTCTTGTGCACATTTTTATGGTTCTTATTGGACTCATTTTACTTAAATAAACATTCTGATCTGCTTGCAGTTTTCTAATTAATAGGGCAACGACAGCATCCACAGCTACATTAAATGAGTTTTTGCTCTACTTTAAACAAAAATGTATTTTAATTAGCGGAAATTAGCTTTCGCCTTATAAGCTTTTTATTCGATTAGTATCAATCAATTTATATTATTGAAATTGATTTGTGGCAATCGTTTTGTATTTATTTGATATGAAATACCTATTCATATCTATATTTCATAATGCCAGATGAGACCAAAAAGCGTTATCATATCGGGTGACTTCTCACATTTTGTTTCATTTATCACCGTTTTTATGCGCTGAACCGATTAAAAACGGGTTAAAGGCTAGCTTGTTTTTGTGCAAATTTATGTAACAGGCCGAAGGAAGCACCTCCGACCTCATAAAGTGTATATATTCTTGATCGGGACATGGAATTAAGTCGATCTAGCTGTGTGCATCTGTTTGTCCTTCTGTATAAAAAGCTAGGAACTTCAAATTTGATAGATATTCGATTTTATATCGAGTTAATATCTATTAAAATCGACCTTGAGACTGGGTATATATGCACATAAAGAATGTTTCACTGTACGGATAGCTTTCCCTAAATGATCCCAGGTCAAAATATACTTCTTTTTGAAGCTAGAGCCTTGTCCTTTGGCATTTGCCTAGCTAGAATCTTAGTAAAGTTCTCTCAGCGCTGGATTCAGGGTATCTCCTAGTCGAGCACTCTTGTTTATTATTGTATTTTGTTTTTCGCCTGCAGCCAAAGGAACAGAATGTCGTTGCAATTTGTTTGGCCCAACTGCCCCGTTTCGGCCCAAAACTGTTTTCGCTGTCAGCGTTAAAAGTCATTTACCACGCTCCATGTGCCACCCACCCATCCTCCTCCCCCTCTCGAGAACGCCCCAACAGCTGGCCAAAAAGTTGGCAATCCAAAAAGTGTAGCTTTTATTGGCCAGAACCAGAAACATTCTGCCCAGCCCATTGAGGCGTGCGCCTAAAAAAGCGCCCTCAACATTACGTGATTCACCCACACACACACATTGAGCATGCTATTGATATACGATATAGTATATACGATATACGTATAACAGATAGATAGTTTTGGGCAAGGTTTGGAGGGTAACCGCATTTATAAAACTGCAACAGCTGCATTTATTTTTCAGTTTGTTTGTTGCCATTGATGCCGCTGCTTTTTTGATACCCTACACAAAGGGTATTATAGTTAATGATAAACATTTATGAACCAATCAGCTTTATCTAGATGAGCAAAGGGAGCTGTAGCTATATATTGTTGCATATTTGTCGATCAATTTCACTTGGCTTTAATAACACTTGGTATCTTTTGTACTTAGTCTAAAATCTTGGCATAAAAGTATGTTGGAGATTAATAGATCTCTATAGCATAATGCCCGCGACTATATATATAATAGGGCTTCAAAACTTAATATATATTATTTGTCTGACTGTAGGCAGTAAGCATTTCTGTAGCAGCCGAATAGGAGCTACTATATTAAAGAGCATTTGTGCACTAGGGTATTTCATCGTCGGCTATCTAAATGTAGCTGTTCCCCCAGGTCCTTATGGGTGTATCAGTGCAGCATTTTCAATCGAATGCAACATATTTGATTCTCAATTTTTATATAGAGTGGGGCTAGTTGCAGACCGTATGAGAAATATATTTGAAAATCAATTCGCATTTGTTGTGCTCAGCTTGACAAATGTTTTCAATTTCAGTTCACTGCAAGAGTTGAACCTGTTTAAGTGAACTAGATATTGGTTGATTGTTTTACGTCGAGTTTCCAGCTTTATGTATATATATAGGTATAAAGAAAAGGGTGGTTATAATCATGGTGGGTCTGGCTAAATACGCCCTTATTTATTGATCAAAATTAGTTTTGGCTCTAATAACTGGGTCTGCATTAAACTGGACTTGAAGAAGTTGAACTAGTTCTTTCACTAGTAAGAAAATGAATCAGGAATTAGAATTGAAATTTCAAATCATATTTTTTCTTATAATACAAATAAATACTTGAATACTTGAACTAGTTCTAAAAACAACCGCGTTTATTAAAGAAGCTTTATCAGAAAATTGAACTTCAATTTGAAGTCATTTTTTTATTAAAACATTTATAAATACTTGAACTTAAACTTGTTCTCAAAACAATCACATTTTGTAACAAAATTAGTGAGAATATTAAATTCTTATTAATTATAATTTTTTTCAAAACATAAAAATAAAACTATTTAGGGAAATTAATTAGAAAATTGAATTTTAATTTGGAATCATTTTTCCCTTAAAAATGTATAAACATTTTAACTTGAAGTAGTTCCAAAAAACTCCAAACTATATAAGAAACTTTATCAGAGAGTTTTATTTAATTTAAATAGAATCTGTTTGAAATTACGTAGCAAATGTTTGAATACAAATTGCATTTAACTAGTTCCGCCTGCGACTGGCCTTGAACTAGTTCCGTTAGGGCTGAACAAGAAACGCGCCTAAAAAGAATGAAGTGAATCTATGTCCTGGCTTATCGACAGCTGCACCTACGACCTCACCTGGCCCCCTTGACGTTTTGGGCGTGTCCTCACATCATTCTTGAGACAGGTAGCTGGCCAAGTGCATCCCATGAGGCAGCAGCTGCTGTTGGCCCTATTCAGCTACCTGTTTTCTTTGGGTTTACAGCTTGCCTAGAGCTGGAGAAAAAGATAAAAACTTTTTGAAAGAATATAATTCAACAGATGCTTCAGGTTTAAAGACTAAACGAATTCCTCAACATTCTCAGCGTTTGTTTCAGTTGCGTCATCGCTAGCGGAAATGTTTATATGTATTGTACATAAAATATCAAGATACATATGAATATATATATATATATATATATATATGCATGTACTTTTATGTGCGCTATGCCGAAAATGTTCAAGTCTGGTTTTCTAAAGGTTCTTTGTTTTTTGTTGTTGCTTTTTTTTCCGTTTTTTTGCCGGCCTCTCGCAAAACTCGTTCTCGAAAATGTTCTATTACAAAGTCAACTCTTATCTATATATTTATTGTACAGACACATATATATATATTAGTGTGTATATTTTTGTTTTATTTAGTTTTAGTTTTATGGCAGCCACGCTGCTAAATTGTTTTAATTAAGTGGCAAATTTATCGCATTGCTCATTTTTTTATTTAAATTTATATTGAAATTAATTTTTTGCTACTATTTTAAGATCTGTTCGACGTCTTATCGTCATAGTCTGAATGTCTAAATGTGCGCTAGTCTTAGCTCTATAGATATATGATTTTTCATATACATATACATATATCTGGGACGTCGCTGGCTTCTCAGGCGTACATATTATATGTGTATTATCTGAGTGAACGTGAGAGTATTCTAAACTCTGAGTGTTTTTACACCCTAAACCCATTAAAAATGGGTATACTGTTTTTGTGCAAATGCTCTGACCCCAAAAATATATTCTTGGTCAGCATCAATAACCGAGTCGATCTAGCCTTGTCCGTCTGTCTATCCGTCCGTCCTTCCGTATGTCCGTGTTTAAGAAGGCGTCGATCTTAGAACCTATAAGAGCTAGAGACTTGAACGTAGCTCCTCCTAGTGCCCGCGCAGTGCTAGTTTGTAGTCCGATAATCGATAACTTACCCCGTTTCCAGGCAATCGATAAAAATCGATATCGAAATCCTGTTTTCAAGCCAATCTCTTAAGTTTGAAGAGCTAGAAACACTAAACTTGACATGTTGCTTCTAGAATAGTATATACAGATGAAGTATCTTTCATTTTAAAGTAATCTCCACCCCCAACGCGAGCTACATTTGGTGTGAGCGTGAGAAGTTGCAGGGTATCCCGTAGTCGGGCATTCCCGGGCATCATATCTGGTGACGCCCCAATGCGTTTGCTCACTGCAAATATTTGGGTTTGTACTTGATTATATTTACATACTGTGCATATTGTTTGCTCTATAATCAGTGTATAAGTTCCCGATATGTCTGCGAAGTGGGTCCAAGTGGCCTCAATGACGCTTTGACTGCTTTTGTTACGCTTTGATGCCGCGCAACAGTTTGCAAACTTATAAGAAACTCAGCTAAATTTAGGGGAATTCTTATTTATTTATATATAAAGTATTCAAGATAAGCGTATGTGTATAATTTTTGATTAGAATTCGGTTATGTTTTATTTAAGACCCATTTATTTAAACATTAAGAAGTCAAGTAATTGTTGAGGTAGATCACAAAGAAATTTGACTACTATTTTGTTGAGCAAAATATTATTTAATTTAAATTATTTTAGATTGTTTAAAGTCTTTGAAGTAAAATTAGTAATAAATATTTAAAAAAAACCATCAAGTATAGCTTTATATGAAAAAAATAAT